CCAGCCTGTCCTTCCCTTCCCCCCTCTCCTCCCCTCCTCTTTCTCCCTCCTCCCTGAGCAGTCTCTTCCTGCCCTCCTGCAGCCTTTCCAGAAGCACGTCTACTACCCGCTGGTCAGCAGCCCCGAGGGGTCGGACGCGCCCCCCGCGGCCTGCGCAGGCTCCATGGCCTGTGTCCCCCCCAGCTCGGCGTCGGGCCCCCTGCCCTTCTTCCAGTTCCGCCCGCGCCTGGAGAGCGTGGACTGGCGGCGTCTGAGCGCCATCGACGTGGACAAAGTGGCGGGGGCCGTGGACGTGCTCACGCTGCAGGAGAACATCATGAACATCACCTTCTGCAAGCTGGAGGACGAGAAGTGCCCGCACTGCCAGTCCGGGGTGGACCCGGTGCTGCTGAAGCTCATCCGCCTGGCGCAGCTCACCATCGAGTACCTGATGCACTCGCAGGACTTCCTCACGGCGCAGCTGCACGGCGTGGAGGAGCGGCTGCGCCTGAGCCTGGGCGACTGCGAGCAGAGCAAGCAGCTGCTCAGCCAGCAGGCCGGGGAGATCAAGCTGCTCAAGGAGGAGTGCAAGCGCAGGAAGAAGATGCTCTCCGCCCAGCAGCTGATGATGGAGGCCAAAGCCAGCTATTACCAGGTGAGGACAGGCGCTGTGCCCCGGCTCCCAGGAACCCCAGAGCAGCCCTGCCTCCCCTAAGAGGCCCTTTCTGTACAACTGTGGTGGTTTTGTTTTGTTTTTTCTTCCTGTTTTCAAAGAAACAGCCTTATTACAGCCCAAACAGTCCTTGGCTCCCACTGAAGACCCAATTCATTACCTTCTGCAAGCTGGTCAAAGGATGGAGAAATAGCTAATATTGCCAGCCATGCTCTATTTATTGAAGTGGTTGAACCTGCTGCCTCTTCATTGGGATCATGAGAAATCAGCTGTGCACAAATTGCTGTTGAAGTCAGCCCCCAAATGGCCCCAAAATATGATTTATTTTGTGGAGGTTTTTTTTTTCCCCCATCTCACTTTAATTTTTTTTTAATGTTTGCAAAATGACAAAAAAGCTGGACCTGGGAAGGTGGCTCAAATGGTAGAGCACTTGCCTTGCATGCATGAAGCCCTGGGTTCGATTCCTCAGCACCACATAAGCAGAAAAAAGCCAGAAGTAGCACTGTGGCTCAAGTGGTAGAGCACTAGCCTCAAGCTGAAGAGCTCTGGACAGTGCCCAGGCCAGAGTTCAGACCATAACTGGCCAAAAGCAATCAAACAAAAATGACAGAAAAGTTGTCAGAGTAGTATAAAGAGCCAGGCTCCAGGGTTCACACCTATAATCCTGGCTACTTAGGAGGCTTGTATCTGAGGATTGTGGTTAGAAGCCAACCTACAGAAAGTGGGAAATGGAGCTGTGGCTTAAGTGGCAGAGCACCAGCCTTGAGCAAAAAAGCTGAGAAATAGCATCCAGGCCCTGAGTTCAAGACCCAATACTGGCACACAGGAAATTAAAAAAAACAAAACAGTATGAAGAATCTTGATGTATCCTTCATCCAAATTCACCTTTTTTTTTTTTTGTCGCTTGTGGGGCTTGAACTCTGGGCTTGGGCGCTGTCCCTGCACTCTTAAGCTCAAAGTAAGTGCTCTACCACTTGAGCCACAGTGCCACTTCCGGTTTTCTAGTGGTTTATTGGAGATAAGAGTCTCACAGACTTTCCTGCCTGGGCTGGCTTTGAACCACCATCCTCAGATCTCAGCCTCCTGAGATTACAGGCATGAGCCACCGGTGCCTGGCTAAATTCACCAATTATTAATAATTTTTGCACCTTGTAGTATTTCTTCTGTTGTTCTTTATACTGTTATTTTAAACCATTTCACATCAAGTTATTGACTCCCAGTTTTCTCAGTATACTTCCTATGAACAAGAAATTTTTGTTTTGTTGTCTAATTTATTTTGATTGTACTGTGTTTGAACTCAGGGACTTGCACTTGCTCTATCACTTCAGCCTTGCTTCAGCCCTAAGAGTGCTAAGTTACATAACAATCATATTTATTTATTTATTTTATTTTTTGTCAGTCTTGGTGCTTGAACTCAGCCTGGGCGCTGCCCCTCAGCTCTTCAGCTCAAGGCTAGCACTCTACTACTTGAGCCACAGCACCACTTGCAGCTTTTTCTGTTTATGTGGTGCTGAGGAATCCAACCCAGGGCCTTATGTAAGTGAGGCAAGCACTCTATCACTGAGCCTCCTTCCCAGCCCTTAAAAATTTTTTTTTAAAAGATGATATGTGAAATTTGAGGAAGGAGGGAAACAAGTGACTGGCTGTTTGTTACTACACAGGCAATTTTCACATTGTGTTTTATATTTATCTCTTTTTACATTTTAAAAAGTTGAAGTAATGGTCTTATGAGTGCCATTATGATATCATTAATAATGATATTGTAATTACAAGAAAAGTCCTTATCTCTTAGGGGGCATTCTAAAATGGTTACAGGGGAAATATGGTTATCTATAAAGTGTGTCAGAAGAGTCCAGGAAAGAGGATGCACATGAAACAAGTTGAAATTCAGCCCAAAATATGAATCAATGGAAAAGCAGAAAAATAGTGATAGTGATGGGATTTTTTTTTCAGAACTCATTTTAGCAGATCACATATCTGCCAGTGTTGTTCTCATGTCTTATGCTGTATTCTGAGGATAAAGCCGGGAAGACGATGGACTGGAGTCCAGGAAGGGCTCTACCAGGTGTGGGGAACCTCTTTTGTGCCAAGTGCCAAAAATGCCATCTGGGTATTTATACCATCCTACTTGGGCCATACAGAATTCTCAGTTCAGGCAAGAGTGCCATGAATGAGTTGATGATGCTGAAGTGACTAATAAGAACAATATTGGAAGGTTCCAGAAAATACCAGAAATTTCCAAAACTATTCTTCATGGCCTGTGTCCAGTGTAGAAGGAACACCCTGGTTTTACATGTCCTCTGAATCATGCTTACAGTATCATTTGCTGGGACGGTGTTGTTGGGAGACACAATTCCCAAGAGATCATGGATCAGGTATCTGGATTTTAACTGCAGCTCACCGGGAGCACACTTGTTATATGCACTTGAATTGTTGCTTTCTTTCCAGTGCCATTTTTGTGACAAGGCCTTTATGAATCAAGCTTTCCTTCAGAGTCACATTCAACGCCGCCACCCTGCAGACTCTCGCCTTGGTAAGGAGTGAGCTCTCTTCTCAAGCTATTTTCTTCCTACATCCTCTTGCTTTTCTCAGTGAGACATAGTCCAGTGCATTATTTTTCAGTCCTTTTTAAGAGAAAGGCCCTGTTCCATCCAGGGGGCAAACACTGAGTCTCTACTATGTGCATGCAAAGCTCACAGCCACAAGCCAAATAGAGAAGTCCTGATCTCAACTCTTAGGTCGTAATGGAGGGGCTGAGGAGACGCACTAAGACAAACAGCGGAGAGACTCATTTCAAATGGTGGCAGATAAGATGAAGGTAATAAAACAAGAGAATGGGGAGGGATGATGTCTCAGTGATAGCTGTATTGAGAAAGTCATATCTAATCAGAGACTGCAGTCACGAAAAACTCCCAGTCTGGTGAGAGGCAGGAAAACCAGTATCTCAGGTATAGGAACACTGATGGTCAGGGACAGGACAGTGTGTTTAAGGACAGAAAGGAGGCAGAGGAGTTAGAAGCCGGATCACAGGAGGCCTTGAAGGCCTTGGCTAGTGGGTGTTTTATATGTGCAACCAGAAGTCATGGAAGATTTTTTTTTTCTTGGTCAGTCATGTAGCTTGAACTCAGGCACTTGAACCTAGGCACTATCCTTAAGCCTCTTTGTGCTGAAGGTTAGTGCTCTGCCACTTGATCCACAGTATCACTTCCAGTTTTTGAGAGATTAACTAGAGATAAGAGTCTCACAAGGACTTTTCTGCCCGGGCTGGCTTTGAACCATGATCCTGAGCTCTCAGCCTCCCGAGAAGCTAGGATTACAGCTTGAACCACCAGTGCTTGACTAAGTCCTAGAAGATTTTAAGTAGCGGGGGATCGTGATCTAATCTGTGCCATAAAATGAGTTCTGGAACTGCTGATGGAATAGATTGCAGGGGAGGTTGGAGGGGACAGGAGGCTGGTCAGGAGCCCAGGTGGAAGACAGAAGCCTGGATCACATGATCTGAACCCTCTGCCTGGGGACACATAAAGATGAAGATACATTTGTGTTGGACATAGAAACTGCAGAGACTTGAGTCTGCATTCTGAGAAGAGGAGATAAGCAAAGATGATCCTGTGGGTGTTTTTTAGTTGGTTTGTTTCAGTGCAGGCTAGGGGTAGAGGAAAGAGACTAGAAAGCATGTATCTATTGGTCATAGATACATTTTATCATACACAGAATAGATGGGCAAGTGGTATGGAGGTTTGCAGGCTGAGAACCCTCAGCTAGAGAGGAGAGTCTGGGAGTCACTGGATGACAGCTGGGCTGGCTGAGGTCATCTGAGTAGAAAACAGAAGAGCTACGGCCTACCTCAGCCTTAACACCAGAGCCCAGGAAGGACAGGTGGAGAGTGGAAAACAATATGTATGGGCCAGTGGAAGAACTGAGAAATGTACTGTTATAGAGAACAAGGGAAAAAGTATTTCAAGAAGGAGGCAGTGGTCAGGAGTGTTCCTGAGATAGAGAGGAAGATGCAGATGGAGCATTAGCCCAACTTGTCAAGATTTTTGTTGTCAAGCCTGACCTGAGTGAGCAGAGTTGAGAACCATGGGGGAGTGTCCTGGCTGAGCACAGGCGTTGATTTCAATAACGTTTGCTGGGAAGGTTGGTAAATACTCCAGGCTTTGACTAGACCAAAACCTGGGATCAAGGGAAACTTTTTTTTTTTTGTTTGATGTGGGAAGTATAATGTTTGGGTGCTAAGAACTACTCAGAATATAGAGTGAAGACAGATAAGAGAGACAATGCTGCGGCTCCCAAGAAACCAGTTTTTTGTTTTTGTTTTTTTAAAATTACTTGGTCTTAAAAGGAGAGACTCCAAGATCTCCTTCTCCAGGAGCAGATGAACCCATACAAACTCTCACTATGATATTCAGTGTTTTGGGTGTTTCCGTATATGTAAGTAAGTTGTTTATTATTCTCCCTCTTGGGATCGATGTGTGACCATTCCTGTTCCAAGCCAGGAAGATAACCTTTCCTTTGGATATCGCTATGCTTTGTTAGAAACCAAAACGAACAGTTATCAGATTCCATTGAGAAACCATGGACCGCTGGTATCCAAGTTAGCAATATACTGGAAAAGGGGGAACGATGAACTAATTTAATGAACCTACCATTCTTCCGTGTGCAACTGACCTTCTCTCTCTTCTGTTTCAGTATCTTACTCTTATCTCATACTCGTTTCAGAGGGTATTTCAGACTCTGAGATGAGTATTATTTCTTCAGGTCATCTTTGAGATTCTGACTTTCTACTTTGGTTTCCATCCCTTTCATGTCTACACTCACAGACACATGTATACCCATTCAGTCATGTGTACATCCTCATGTAAGTACATGTACATAAGTATTCTTCCCTTCACTTGTTTGATTCCTTTGGCAACTTTCCAGTTCTTCGCTTAGCCCTAGTCGTAAAGGGTGTTGTCTGGGTTTCCATCCTGAATGCCAGTCCTCTGCTTGCCTGAGCACTGATAGGAGTGTCCGGAGAGTTTGGTGGGAACTCTTAGTGCCGTAGCACCTGAAGAGGAAGCCTGTTCCCCAGCTAGACTTGGATAGGAATAGAGGGAAGCCCCCTCCCTCCCCATCCCCCATGGTACCACTGGGTCAATAGACTTGATGAGTCCTTGTTATCTTTATTGCTCCCTGAACAGGGCTGTTCTTACTGTCTCTATAGGATAATACAACCTCAATATAGTGATCCCCCCTCCAAAGTTGCCTTTTACAAACAATTCTTTGCCCAATCCTAGGAAGGGCTGTAGAGAAACACAAAAGAATAAAAATGTGCTCATGATCCGTAACCCCCAAATTACAGCAGTTTCCTCTGTTGATTCCACTTCTCATCCGTAGGACTGTACCCTGTAAGTTTTCCAAGCTAGAGCATCAGGTGAGTGTTGTAACCAGGTTTTCTGTCGCTACAGAGTATAAGACAAAGGCCCAGACTGACAAGCTGCAGAAGGAGATTGACATGTTGAAGGAGCAGCTGCAGCTCACCAAGTCTCAGCTGGAGTCTGCACAGCACGCCCACGCCACACGATTCTCCAAGGTACGTGGGGCGTGCAGCCAGTGGTGTTTTCATTGTATGTAATTATGTTACTCATTGGTGCCAGGGATTCCCATTGGTTGAGGACACTTAAGGGTTTGTCAGACTCCATAAAATGGGACTGTGTTTTGTAGTGTCATTTGGTTTTTAGTATTTTAGTACAAAGCATATATTTTATTCTCTGTGTTTCGAAGGTTTGGTTTTGGGTGGTGGTGTTTGTTGTTGTTTAAATTTTTGATGTTTTGTTGTTCTTGTTTTTAGATGCTAGTCCCAGGGCTTGGACTCAAGGGCCTGGACACTGTCCCTGAGCCTTTTTTTTTTTTTGCTCAAGTCTAGCACTCTACCACTTGAGCCACTGTACCACTTCTGCTTTTTGGGGAGTTAATTGGAGATAAGAGTCTCATGGACTTTGCTGCTCAGGCTGGCTTTGAAATGTGATCCTCAGGTATCAGCCTTCTGATAACTAAGATTACAAATGTGAACCCCTGGTGCCTGCTGAAGGTTTTTTTTTTTTCAAAAAATAAAACAACCGGGCTGGTAAGGTGGCTCAGTGGTAGAGTGCTTGCCTTGCATGCATGAGGCCCTGGGTTCAATTCCTCAGTACCACATAAGCAGAAAAAGCCAGAAGTGACGCTGTGGCTCAAGTGGTAGAGCACTCGCCTTGAGCCGAAGAGCTGAGGGACAGTGTCCAGGCCCTGAGATTAAGCCCCATGACCAAAAAATAAAAATAAAATAAAGTAAAACAACCCACATTTATTATTTTATATTGCATGTCTATGTGTCAGAAGCTTGGCGTGTGGCTGGCTAAAATCAAGGTATAGGCAGGGCCATATTCCAAACTTAGCATATTTATAGTTAAACCAGTTTGGCCCCCTGGTTTTAAGTTTTTTCTACCGCTCCGGGAATATAGTCTGTATTCATTTAGCAATCACTCCTGTTAATTTTATCTCCTGTTAACCACTAGTGTTGTTTTTCTGTGTATACCGGTACTAGAACTTGAACTCCAAGACTCTATTTCTTGCTTGGATTTTTCCTTTACCACTTCAGCCACGTTTCCACTTCCAGCTTTTTGATAAGTCTGTCAGCTTAATCCGCTCTGGATGGCTTTGATTCATCATGATTCTTCAGATCTCAGCCTCCTGAATAGCTAGGAGTATCGACTGAGCCACCAATACCTAGCACTACTAGTGTTCTTATCTATCTTCCTGAATTTGTCTGGTCTGTATATATTACATAGAAGTAATCATATAACCTATAACCTTTTTATGTTTGGCTTTTTTACTTAGCAAAATGTTTTTGAGATTCATCAAAGTTATAGCATAATCAATAGTGTGTTATAATTTTTGCCTATCTGCTATATAAATTCAGAGAACACAAAAAGTTAGAACCTTTTTGCTTCCATGTAGACATTTTAAGGGATGTAAGGACGTGCTGTGTGCTGCTGCCTTTAATTTGTGCACAGGCCTGCCATGATATTTATTTTAAGCCTAACTGAAAGAATCAGTATTAACAGATAGCCTTGAGGGGAAGCTATGACTATTCATTTCAAATTTGCAATTTGCTTCTTTAGCAGAACTGTTTAAAGCCATGTGTTCACAATACTTTCAGGAATACGAAATGCAGAAAGCAAAAGAGGAAGATTTTCTGAAGTTATTTGATAGATGGAAAGAGGAAGAAAAGGAGAAACTAGTGGATGAAATGGAAAAAGTCAAGGAGATGTTTATGAAGGAGTTTAAAGAGTTAACTTCGAAGAACTCAGCCTTGGAATATGTAAGTACCAAAGCTGGAGGTCCTCATGCTAATTAATAGAGGCCTTGAGATGGGGCATTAGCCAGGCATTTGGGCCAGAGGATTATAAGATACCATGCCATGCTCTGGTGCAGGTTCCCTGAGTCCTTGAGTCTTGGGTAAAAGACAGACAGGCTAGGAAAGTTATTTTGTTGAGAAGTGGGAGTTCAGGCCCTAAACTCCAATAAAGACCAGTCCTGGGTGCATTAGAAGAAGGTCCAAACCACAACCTCTTCCCTGGGTTTGGGAGTATTTAGGTTGATTCAGACCAGTGTGGGAGGAAAAGGAAGCTGAGTCAGAAGGACAGAGGGAGAACCTCTCTTTGCTTTAGGAGGTTGGGTTGTCCAACACAAGCAGAATTATGGCTAAATGAGTCCCCAACCTGTGTGGGAACAGCATTGGCCCCAAGCCTGGATGGCAGACAAAGCCGCACCCAGCAGGAACTGGTCCTTCATCCTCAGTGCCAGTCCTCCCACATAGAATTCTAAACAATGGGATCTCGATCTGTCATCCTTAGGGGGAAGATTTCAAACGTGACAGTATTTCATTCTGATAAAAGTATAACATCAGTACCAGTGATTTTGAATTTCATTTAAATAGCACTTGCTGGAAATTCACAAATCCAGTTTGCCCAAGGAAGGCTGGGAGCTGGGGGATTAACCATGGGCTCCCTCTAGTGGCCAAGAAAGGTTTAGAAAACCAAAGTGGAGTCCAATTTTGGTACTTTTTGTTGTTGATTGTGGGGCCCGAACTCTGGGCCTGGGCGCTGTCTGTCAGCTCTTCAGCTCAAGGCTAGCACTCTACCACTTGAGCTATGGTGCCACTTCTGGCTTTTTCTGCTTATGTGGTGCTGAGAAATCGAACCTAGGGCCTCCTGCATGCAAGGCAAGCACTCTTACCACTGAGCCACCTTCCCAGCCCTGAAGCCCATTTTTGAATGACCACTAGGTCCTTCTCCTTGCTCTTCAGTTTTCACTTTGATACTCTTTTGCTGCAGGATCTTTTTTTTGAAAGGAACTCCGCAAGGCAAAATTTACTTCTGCACCATCAGCCAAAAATCAAGCAAGCAAGCACACAGAGTGGGCAGGCTGCTCCCTTTTTATCCCTAACCCAGCAGGCCCCGCCCCTCTGCTGCTATTTGCTGAGCTCAGGTTCACAGTCTGCAAAAGGATGTGGTTTTAAGAGGGTGTAAAATTCAAGGAACTTCTATTTGGTTGTCTTAATGAAAGGGCTGAGAGAAAGGAGGTAATGGAACTAAAATGTAATTAACAAGGGCCAGGCCACAAAGCCAAAGCAGGAAACCCTGAGGAAAATTCTTTCCTCCAGATTAACGGAAAGGAAGCTTTGATAAAAAAGATGCTTTTGATAGAAACTACTTTGATAGAAAAGATGCTTTTTCCTCACTGGTGCAAAGTGGTAGAGTGCTAGCCTTGAGAAAAGAAGTTCAGAGACAGTGCCTGGGCTTGAACTCATCAAGATCAGCTCGCAGACACAAGCAGGATTGTTCCTGTGACTGATCAGTGCAGTCCCATGTTGGCAACACTGAGACCTTGGATTTCGATTAATTTTTTCTTTATTGAGATTAAGTACACAAATTTCACAGTATTATTTCATAGTGATACTTAGCTAAAGTCACCAACCCATGTTAACCTTCACAAAGATCATTGTCATTATCTTCATCTACAAAGCTTATGAACTCTACAGACTTTAACAATCAAACAATTTCTTCCTGGATTTAGATTTGTGTGTGTGTTAGTCGTTCATGGGTCTTGAACTCTGGGCCTGGGCACTATCCCTCAGCTCTTCAGCTCAAGGTGAGCACTCTACCACTTGAGCCATAGCACCACTTCCGGTTTTCTGGTGCTTGGAGATAGGAGTCTCACAGACTTTCGTTCCCAGGCTGGCTTTGAACCGCGATCCTCAGGTCTCAGCCTCCTGAGTAGCTAGGATTATAAGCATGAGCCACTGGCGCCTGGCTTTGCATTTAGATTTTGAGGTTTAAGAGTGTATGTTCCTATTAGCAGCTAATAGCTAGGGGCCTTTAGACCTACTTGAGCTCTGGCCACCGGCTTGCTTGACCCCAGGCCCCAGGTCCCTTACCCTCAGTGAGAGGTATGGAGCCTGGAGAAACTTGGCGCTCTTCCTCTCCACCAAGGTCGTATGAGGAGGTGCTGCAGTCACCTCTGAGTGACAAGGGGACTGGTGTCTGGGAAAAAAGGAGGTAAAAACTGGAGGCTTTGACATCCTATTAAATCACAATTTACTGCAGGAACTTGCCAAAGATGCCAGATCACATTTAGTGGTTGGGTCACCCGAGGCGAGGCTCCTCTTGTCTGTGCCAGGCTTTCCAGTGTTGTCTTTGATGGCCAGAATAACTTAGGAATTCTCTGCGAAGAGGAATTATTGGGTGTACTCCTCGTGATTACACTGAGTTTATAAGACTCTCTAAGATTTCCTGCCCCAGCACATTCTAATGGAAAAGACCAGAGTTAGGAGACACAGGACAGTCACACCAGCAGTGGAAGCTAAAGGAGTGTTTGGAAGGAAAGCCAGATTTCAAGCATGGCCGCTGGCTCTCCAATTTTATTTAATATTTAATTCTGATTGAAGTATAGTATTGCTGGGCGCCAATTACTCTCACCTGTAATACTAGCTACTCAGGAGGCTAGATCTGAAGATCATGTTTCAAAGCCAGCCAGGGCAGGAAAGTCCTTGAGACTCTGATCACCCATTAACCACCAGAAAACCGGAAGTGGCCCTTTGTCTCAAAGTGGTACAGCTGTAGCGTTGAGCAAAAAGAGCTCAGGGACAGCTGCCAGGTCCTGAGTTCAGGCCCCATGATACACACACACACACACACACACTCTCTCTATCTCTCTCTCTCTCTCTCTCTCTCTTCCCTCACACACAGATAGCATTGTACCACTAGTTTTGAATATTCTTTTATAGCAATTGCTGGAAATCCAGAAATCCAATTTGCAGATCAAGTCCAACATAGGTACATTAAAAGACGCCCATGAGTTTAAAGAAGATCGTTCCCCACACCCCCAGGACTTCCAGAATGTGATGCAGCTGCTGGACAATCAGGTATGAAGTGGGGTAACCACAGTGGATGCCTTCCTTGCTCCTTTTCTGGGGGGAGGGGGATGGCTGGTACCGATGTTGGACCTCAGGCTCTGGCTCTCACTTGGCTTTTTCACTCAGTTCAAGGCTGGCCCTCTACCACTTGAGCTTTTGTTGCTTAATTGGAGATAAGAGTCTCCTGGATTTTTCTGCCCAGGCTGTCTTTGAACCTTGATCTCTGCCTCCTAAGTAGCAAGGATTACAGGTGTGAGTCACGAGCAACCGGCCATTTATTGTCTTTTATATAATGGTATTCGGAATTCAATTCAAAGGGCCTTGCTCTTGCTAGGCAGGTGCTCTAGCGCTTGAGTCGTGTCTCCAGCCTTTTTTGTTTTGGTTTATGTTTTAGACAGCATCTCACCATTTTGCCTGCCTCAGACTGAAATCATTCCATCTTTACCTCCCATAGAGTTCAGTGTTAGATCTGCAAACAAATCACACGCTTTACTCTTTCACAGGAAAGCAAGTGGACGGCTCGAGTTCAAGCTCTCCATCAGGAACACAAAAAAGAGAAGGATCGGGTAAGAGAGAGAGATTGTATGTGTGTGTGTGTGAGAGAGAGAGAGAGAGATTGTGTGTGAGAGAGAGAGAGAGAGATTGTATGTGTGTGTGTGTGTGTGTGTGTGTGTGTGTGTGTGTGTGTGAGAGAGAGAGAGAGAGAGAGATGCTGGGGTTGGAATCCTGGTCTTCATAC